AAGTTAAAAAGTCTATTTTTCTACTCTATCTGATATTCATATAGCCAATCATGCTTTTTTAAAAAAACTTATGTTACCAAGATAAATCTTTTTCTGTGCTTTTTACTTTCTATCGATATTGTGTTTGAAGTGAATTTCTTGGAGACAGCATATGGTTGGATTTGTTTTTCTATCCACTGTGCCAATCTCTGTCTTTTGATTAGTGTATTTAGACCATTTACATTTAAAGTAATTGTTGATTTGTTAGGATTTAAGTCTCCCATTTTATTGTTCGTTTTCTGTTCATTTTCTCTATTTCTTAATCCTTTGTCTTTTCTTGACTTCCTATGAGCTGCTTGGAACATTTTTCGTGATTTCATCTTGTTTTATTTATGTATTTTTAAATATAGTTTGCATAGTTTCTTAGTGGCTGCCATGTTTATTAAAATATTCATTAGCAATAATTGCTGCTACATTTTGAACATTTACAGTATGTTAGACATTGTAAAAGACCTTTATATGCTTTGCGTCTATTTAATCTTTACAAAAACCCCAGAAAGGTGCTATTCTAATCCTAATATTAGGCCTGAGGAAACTGATGCTCAGAGAAGTTAATTAATCTGTACACAATCACAGTTGTTAAATTAGTGGGAAAACCTAGGTCTAACTCCAAAGTTCATGCCTTTAACTGTAATATTATGGTACCTCATTAATATTTTATGATGTAGGCTTTACATTTAAAATTGTAATGTGTTTTGTCTCATTTTCTAGGTTTTGATGATGATGGTTCAGAATTTCATGAACATATATTTCTGGATAAATACCTGGAGGGTTTTCCAAAGCAAGGACCAATTCGCCACTTCATGGAGCTGGTGACGTGTGGCCTTTCCAAAAACCCATATCTGAGTGTTAAACAGAAGGTTGAGCACATAGAGTGGTTTAGAAATTATTTTAATGAAAAAAGGGACATTCTAAAAGAAAGCAACGTACAGTTCAATTAAAACCATGGAAATTTTTATTTCAAACTGTTAGAGATGGATGTTACAACAAAATAAAATAATTTTACTGGAGTTTTCCTATATTATGTTAATTATTGCATCTGATTTGACTGGCATAAATGTTA